TCTCGGTCTCGGTCCCGGTCTCGGTCTCGACTTTGGACTCCATCTCGGACTCCATCTCGGACTCCATCTCGGACTCCATCTCGGACTCCATCTCGGGTCCATCTCGGGTCCATCTCGGACTCCATCTCGGACTCCATCTCGGGTCCATCTCGGACTCCATCTCGGACTCCATTTCGGGTCCATCTCGGACTCCATCTCGGACTCCATTTCGGGTCCATCTCGGGTCCATCTCGGACTCCATCTCGGACTCCAACTCGGACTCCATCTCGGGTCCATCTCGGACTCCATCCCGGACTCCATCTCGGACTCCATCTCGGGTCCATCTTGGGTCCATCTTGGACTCCATCTCGGACTCCATTTCGGGTCCATCTCGGGTCCATCTCGGACTCCACTTCGGACTCCAACTCGGGTCCACCTCGGACTCCACTTCGGACTCCATCTCGGACACTCCCACATGTCATGTGTTGGTCCTTTTGGGTCCCTTTTTGGAGCCTCGCCTTTTGCTCGCTTCGTGCTCGTTCCTCGAGCACTTCGTTGGGAGTTCCACTCCCGCTCTTGACTTTTCAAGTCGGAGCTTTTGGTCCAAACATGTTACGCTCGTTTGGCTCTCGCTTCGGCCACTACCATGTGGCGCCCTTCCGGCTCCACTTTGGGGCCTAGGGATTTTGTGTCTCACACTAGCTCACTGGAATACAACTTCTTGTATTCAGGTCCTCCTCACAAGGACCATCTTTGCAAGTGTTACTTTGACACTTGATTTGTTCTCTTGGGGCAACCTTTTGCCCCTTAGGACCACTTGTCTATGTGATGAAAATACCAACTCATCCTCTGAGTACACCCCTAGTCCTTGGGTTGGTCCAGCATTTATTAAAGGTAGCCCCGGCTACCATTTCAAGGACTTGAGTCCTCTTCCGTATTTGACCTCCCACGGTCATTACTTCTGGTCTTACATTCATGAGCACCAACCTCAACTATATGAGGATAATCTTGTGACTCCTTTATTGTTTTGGAGTCTCTATCTTTCCCGTGATCCCAACTATAGTTCTTTACCACAACTACATTAGCTAGTTCGCTAAGTCAAACGCTCATCTGGATCACATCCTCAACTTTCGGAGGAAAACCATATACTGTTCCCAAGATCCCAAAGTCGTTCCTTTATTGGCCCCTTTTCCATCCACCATATCGTGCACAAGTTCACGCATGAACTTGAGTGGATAGCCATGTCCTCTCGACATGCTACTCCTCAAGGATAGGCCCACTTCTAGGACCTTCCAATGCCAACATCAATGGTGATATACTTGAGCACCAATAAAAGTTGGACTAAGGAACAGCTCTGATACCAAGTTGTAGGCGACTAATTTTTCCATTCTACTTTAGTCACTTAACCACACCTCCGACCACTTGGAGGAGTCTCATTCGCAACCTCCATCAGTCCAATTCAGGACTTGGGACTTGCTAGCCCCAAGAATGGCATCCATGCCACTCAACACTTGCACCTGGTCCAAGTGCTCCACGTGTCCGGTCCCAAGACCGACACCCAAAGGTACCACTGACATCTCGGCCCATTACGCTAAGGCCATGCCCATTCACCTTTGCTGCACTAGTGGTCCAACACCACTTGCATCACCACCTCGTCTCTCCAAGACTGGGCCATGTATCCACGAGTGGTCATCCTAGATCCACTCCTTAGCATCCTTAGGATGCCCACAGACCTAGGGAATTGCCTTCCCCAAAGTCCCTTTGTCAGTTCCTACCAAGCCCCTTTCTGCCCCTGGCCGTGTTTGCCAACACTGCCACTAGATCGAGGCCCACAGGCCCGACCACTAAGTCCCACGGTCCTCTGGGACTTCCTCACCACATGACTGTGTCCTTGGTCACTACCCCAGAGGACTGCTCCTCTTCCTTTCCACAGTCTGGGCCTTTGGGACAACATTTCGGAACACCGTGGCCTTACGCGAGCCACCTGGGTACTCTCCCCACCTTTCGCCTTTAGGTGCTCTAGCCATGGGCTTAGAGCGAGGTTCCGTTGAGCCACGCCTGGTATCCAAGTAGGTAGTGCCACCCACACTTGGACTGGGAGCATCGGCCAGTCGATCTCCCAGGGGAACTAAAGCCGGCTCTTGAACACTTCACCAAGCTACCCCGCTTGTCGGTCCGTATTCACTCTAGTCTTGGACTTCCCAGTGGTCAGTTCATCACCCAACACTGGGTCTGGCCTTCTTGGGCCAAACTAGCCTTTCCTGGCCAAACTGGCTCCACTGCAGTCCTCCCCCTTACTATACTTTTGGAGCTCACCAAACCCCCTAGGGTCTGGGAGACGAACGCTTTGGGCTTTCACCCTCTCAGACTCGAACTCAGACTCGGACTCGAACTCGGACTCGGACTCGAACTCGGACTCGGGCTCGGGCTTGGTCTCAGCCTTGGCCTCGGTCTTGGTCTCGATCCCGGTCCCGGTCTTGGTCTCGGTCTCGGTCCCGGTCTCGGTCTCGACCTCGGACTCCATCTCGGGTCCTTCTCAGACTCCATCTCGGACTCCATCTCGGACTCCGTCTCGGTCCACCTCGGACTCCATCTCGGACTCCATCTCGGGTCCATCTCGGACTCCATCTCGGACTCCATCTCGGGTCCATCTCGGACTCCACTTCGGGTCCATCTCAGACTCCATATCGGACTCCATCTCGGACTCCACTTCGGGTCCATATCGGACTCCATCTCGGACTCCACTTCGGGTCCATTTCGGACTCCATATCGGACTCCATCTCGGACTCCACTTCGGACTCCATATCGGACTCCACTTTGGGTCCATCTCGGACTCCACTTCGGACTCCATATCGGACTCCACTTCGGGTCCATCTCGGACTCCAACTAGGGTCTGCCTCGGACTCCATCTCAGACACTTCCACGTGTCGTGTGTTGGTCCTTTTTGGGTCCCTTTTTGGAGCCTTGCTTATTGCTCGCTTCGTGCTCGCTCCTTGAGCACTTTGTTGGGAGTTCCACTCCCGCTCTCGACCTTCCAAGTCAGAGCTTTTAGTCCAAACGTGTTACACTCGTTTGGGCTTTCGCTTCGGCCACTACCACGTGGCACCCTTTCCGGCTCCACTTTGGGGCCTAGGGATTTTGTGTCTCACATGAACTTTCAGCATTCGGATTGGGATGGTTATTTGTTAGTGCAAAGTTCTGTTGGTGCTTTATCATATAAACTCCTATATGGTCATGATCCAATACTACCAACAGAGCTAGGTTTACCTTCGTGATTGCCACGAACTGCCGATACTAGGTTATGGGATTAGTATTTGACGAGCATTCTTCCACTTATCCGAGCTGAGTCTACCAAACACTTAGGCTGCATACAAGTGGGACAACAACAGCACTACAACTCCCATCATCATCCACCTGTGGAGTACAAAGTGGATGATTTGGTGTTAGTCCATTTTCCCCATCTTACAGTATGTGGTTTATCTAAGGGGCTCCTTGCGAAGTAGAAAGGACCGTATCAGGTGTTGCGGCAAATTGGACCACAAGTTTATGAGGTTTGGCATGACATCCAGCAAGCCAATCCTTCAGAGATTGTGCATGTGCAGTAGTTGAAATGCTTTATACAAAAGGATCAATAGTAGTTAATACCACCTACGGATCCATCAATGCCTCTTTCTGACGTTCCTCCAGATCTCGGCCTGTCTACAAGAAAACCCTAATAGTCTTCCATTATTCCAAGAGGAGGGGATGATCTGAGGGTCAAGTGTACAGCTATGATGCCGTATACTAATATTAACATAGTGGGATTTTGGTAATTGTCGGATTGGTTTCAATCCGGACCATTTGCTTTTGTATATAAGTTAGGGTTTTTGGACTAATTGATATGCACATTTTTTGTATTCCCTTTCTATATTCCAAGCACTCACAAAGTTTATAGTAATTAAATAAAAAATTATATAATTAATTTATTATTGCTTTTTAAATACTATTTAGATTTGTCACTTGATTTACAAATTTACAAATTATTTTTCACTAGAGTGATATAATATAGTAGTACTTTTTTTTTTTACATTCTGATAATATATGTTTTATATTTCTATTATTGAAACTTAATTATACACTTTTTATTAGAATATTTTAATAATTATAATTCATTTGTTCAATAGTGTTTTCACAACACAAGGATCTTCCACTTTGTTCTGCTTGAAATTGACCTCAGAATGAAAGTAGTCTAGAAGTAAAATAGTTTTTTTTAATATCTCAGGTGATTGTGATTTATTATTTAAATATATTATTAGTAAGTATATCATCATCATAATCATCATATGATGATGATGATAATGATGTCTTCTATAGATGGTTGCAGGGGCAATAAGAGCTCGGGCTCTTAAACATTACCTGGTTCATGCTCTCGGCAAGCTCAACGGACTGGCACCAAGAACTTGCAAGAAAGCTTGGTTTGCTCCAGTCACATTCCTTTGATCCCAATCCATTCACAGACTAATATTTTTCAGGTAATCAACACTGGAAAGACTCCTTTTGACACCATGAACTTAGCTTGCACGCTCGATGAGCGAGCAGCGTCGTGGCAGGAACAAAACGAGCTTGCAGCTCTCGTCCGATCTTGCAGAGACTTTTCACAGGGACTAGAGCTCCACTCCCGGATCCGCCACAGCAAGCATCGTGACAACACTTTTCTTGCCAATCTCCTCGTCCAAATGTATGGGACGTGTGGGAGATTGTCCGAAGCTCGCCTAGTTTTCGATCAGACCAAGCAGCCCAATCAATTCTCTCGCGACATCCTCCTCTCGGCATACGCGCAGAATGGCGACATCCAGTCCGCTCGCCAGATCTTCGATTCGATGCAAGGAAAGAGCGTGATTTCGTGGAACTCGATGATCACGGCGTATGCCCAGCACGGCCAAACCGCCGACGCGAGAAAGCTCTTCGATTCTATGCCCATCAAGAATGTGGTGTCCTGGACGACGATGATCACTGGATTGGGGAAGAGCGGCGGGTTGCGAGAGGCGCGAGAGGTCTTCCAATCGATGCCTCGGAAGAATGCCGTGACATGGAACGCGATGATCCAGGCCTATGCCCAAAACGGGTATTGGGATCAAGCCAAAGAGATTTTCGATGCCATGCCGGAGAAGAATTCCATTGCCGCCTGGAATTTCATGCTCCAGCAAACGCTTCAAACCGGTAATCTAGAAGAAGCGAGGGCTCTGTTCTTGCATAGCATGAAATTCCGGTCTCTCGCCACGTGGACGGTGATGATCGATGGATATACAAGAAATGGGCATCTGACGGCCGCGATGGATCTCTTCTGGCACGGGATTCCGGAATGGAATGTCGTCTCTTGGAGCGCGGTTGTTCATGCTCTGGCACAAGCAGGGTTTGTGGCCGACGCGCGGAGGGTCTTCGACTTGGTGATGGCGGAGCACAATGCCATAGCATGGACGATTTTGATCCAGGCGTATGCTCAAGCCGGCAATCTGGCACTTGCGACGGAGCTCTTCGACTTAATGCCGGCGAGGGACACAGCAGCATGGAATTCGATGCTCCAAGGGTACGTTCTCCATCACAGGATCGAAGAAGCAGTGGCATTCTTCCGGTATTTGATGCCCGATCACGACGAGGCCTCGTACACCATGATGCTCACTGCGTATGCCCAGACCGGGCAAATCAACAAGGCCAGGGATATCTTCAGCACAATGCCACAGCGAAGCATCGTTGCTTGGAATGCCATGCTGGGAGCTTGCTCGGAGATGGGGCTCTTGAAGGAATCGAGGGAGCTGTTTGAGAGAATGGCTCGACACAGCTTGGTTTCGTGGGGCTGCCTTCTAGCGGCGTATGCTCACAGGGGAAATCTCGAGCAAGCCAAGGAGATCTTCGACGCAGTGCCCGAGCATAATCTAGCCAGCTCCAACTCAATGCTTCAAGCTTTCATCCTCGCCTCGAGAAAGGAGGAAGCACGAGAGATGTTTGAAGGGATGATCCAGCGCGACGTTCTCTCTTGGACGATTTTACTGGGAGCTTGTGGATACTCATGGAAGTTCTTTCTGCGCATGCCGGAACTCGATGTGGTGGCCTGGAACTCGATGCTCGTGGCACTTGCCGCACACGGAGAATCCAGAGACGCGATTGAGCTCTTTGGAGTGATGCAAATCGAAGGAACGATCCCGGATGAAGTAAGCTTCATGGGAGCGCTAGCAGCTTGCTCGCATTTGGGCTTGCTCGCCCAGGGATGGAGATACTTCGTCTCGATTACTGAGAGCTACTCGATGCTTCCGACGAGCAGGCACTATTGCTTCATGATAGACATGCTGGGGAAATCGGGACGAGGAGAAGAAGCTCACGAACTTCTCGAGGCGATGCCGTTTGTCCCGGATGCCGTTGCTTGGGGATGCTTGCTCCAGCACCTGAGATCAAGATCTCACCGCCATCTAGCAGTCAGCGCTGCTCGACGTGTTCTTGGGCTCTCTTCATCAGCTGATCGCTACGTCTCGATCTATAACTTGGTCCAGTCTAGTCGATCATCTTGTCACGACTACGCGACGTAGGTGCTGGAAAGGAGAGCATACGGTGACGAGATGGTTCTGTCGCAGCCTATAGCCCCACCAGCCATTGTTAGAGGTTGTACAACACTCTTCTCCAGATCCATCAATAGATAAATTATGCCTTTGCTCGTTGTGGATCTTCTTGGACCCGACAGGGAGCAAGAAGCGCCATCTGGGACTTTAGAGCATGCTGGAGATGAGATCCTTGGCCTTGGCTAGCTGACCGCAGTAGTGCGCTCCCAGTGCTTGGACTTGATGATCGTCGACCATGTTGCGAAAATAATTCCATCCCTGCTCGAACAGCCCGAGCTGGCAGCAAGCGAGAACGCTCACAAACGCTGAATGGTCGGGATCAAACATCATCGTCGTGAAGGAGCCCTGGAGGATCACGTCCAGAGCGACGAGGTTCTTCTCGCGCATTCTATCCAGCACTCTGCTCGCGGCTCCAAGATCTCCGGAAGCAACGTAGGCTGAGATCATCAAGAGATCATCAAATTGTCCTCGATCATGCCAGAGTGGAAGAACGATACAGCGGATTGAGCTTAGATGGATCATTGTCGCCATTGTGGCCATTTCCCAGCCGGGCATTCGTTGGAACAAGCGCTCAGCGCACAAGAAACACGAGGAGAAAATGAAGAATCGGAAGTATCTTTTAAAGCCAGATGAGGAGCGACCATCGATGTGGCAACCTCCAGATTATAGGAGACCGAGTTGCTTCTATTGTTCCCTTGGGAAGTAAGCTTTCTTTTTCTTCTTCTTAGTTGGTAAATTTATTTATTTATTGTAGGGAGGAGACATCAGAGGCAAATAACCATGATCTCATCTGGGCTTGTCTATATCCGGAAGAGTTCGGATTTTTCTTTTGTATGTATTTGTTGATTCATTTTTCTTGGTGCAGGCAGTTAAAAGACGGTTTGAATTTAATTTTGCATCTCAAGAAACATAATTTATCTTTTTTTGCCTTCTTGTTACCAAAAAAATCTTCATACACAAATTCAATTCCCACCTAATGGTCAGGAATCTTGTTAGCTTGGCGAGTGAGATTTCATTAAAAGTTTAAGGTTTCTTGTTTACATAGAATAAAATATTTAAATACAAACAATATTAACCAGAAAGGAAAAAATAAAAATATATACTAGCTGTAAAAGCACTAAAAGATGCTAAACACTTTCGTTTTTCACAACTATTATACGACTTTGTTGTGGTGGAGCTAACCTTCCCAAAGCCATCCGTTTCCTAAGCATGGTTCTCCTACAACATTAAATCCTTTAACATGTCCTTTCCTAAGCATGGTTCTCGTACAACATTAAATCCTTTAACGTGCTAGAGAAACTTCTATAAAAAGGAAGAAAATAGGAAAACAATTAGGGTTCTTCAATGTGGGAGGCAGTGAGCCACAAGGGGCAGAGGCCGTACCAGGAGGACAGGTGCCTGGCGATCCCTGGAAAGGTAGGAATCTTCGCAATCTTCGACGGCCATCGCGGATCACAGGCAAGCGACTTCGCGGCCGCTTGGTTCTACCAAAGATTTCACCACCATCTCCGCTTGCAGGGGAGCGGCGATTCGATCGAAACGCTGCTCACGGGCGCGCTATCCGCCGCGATCGCGGACATCGAGGCAGAGCTCCTCAATGAATCGGAGAGGGGTGGATTCGTGGCCGGATCGACAGCGTGCGTCGCAGCGATCAGTGGCGAGACCGTGGTCGTGATGAATCTGGGCGATTCTCGAGCGATAATCTGTGGCGTGGAGGCAGGGGATTGCGTACGGCTGACCCGGGATCATCAGCCGTACTGGGAGGACGAAAGGAAGAGGATCGAGGCGGCAGGTGGAGTCATCCACAGCAATGGGAGGCTGTTTGGGGAATTCGAGGTGTCCAGGGCGATTGGCGATCGGGATCTCAAGAAGTTTGGGATGAGCGCGGTGCCGGAGTTCACGGTCTATCATCTCCAGAGGCAGAGGCCATCGCCACTCTATCTCTTGGTTGGATCGGATGGGGTTTTCGAGAAGTTGAGGTTCCAGGGCGTTTGCGAGACCGTTGTAGAACTGCTCAGGAATGGAGAGGAAAGTGGAATTGCTTCCAGAGTGATTACTAAGGCACTCGTGGCTGGAACGAGTGATAATCTCACGCTTGTCGTCGCAAAGCTGGTGTGATTCTTCGATCGATCAACTTGGCGATATAGGAAATCTTTGGCACGAAGTTGACAGTGCTTTGAACAAAGGTTATAATGAAGGTTGAAGTTCCAGGGAAAAGATCACGCTGACAGAAGTTCCAGGGAAAAGATCAGGAACAATGCCGAGTGCTTTGGACACTGTCAATATTCCAAATCTGATAATGAAGTTGCCGGAGAAAAAGATCAAAGAACAAACGTTTTCGAAGGACTGGGAATTTTTCAAACGAAAATATAAAAGAAAATGGTTTAAAGAAATAATTTGCCGAGTATAATTCATCAAAGAATACTTCATTTTCGAGATGGATCAAGAACAGTGAAGTTTTTGGTACTAAGGTCAAAGAAAGATTCCAGGAGGGCGGCATTTCTTCTCTCATACAAACTTCGATTCCGCTCTCATTCGTAGGAGAAACCCTCCATCTCTTGTACGCCATGAAAGCAAACAGGCCATGGGAGTTTTACGAGTCTCGCGAGAAGTATGGCCAGGGTTTCAAGACACGCCTGTTTGGCCACCCCACGGTGGTGGTAAGCGCTCCTCTTGGGTTCAAGCTCTAGTTCTCCAGCCACGGCAAGATCTTCGAGCGCTCCTGGCCAGCCCCAATGAGGATGCTCATGGGTGACAAAGAGCTTGTTCTTGGAGGGCCACAGGCGCCACATTCTCATGGCGTTCCTTGGCCCCGACACTAGCGAAGGTATGTCGTGAGCGCCAGCTCCATCGCCCAGGCACACATTGCGAAGGTTTTTGCTGGATGGATCGGAAGTTGGTGCTTACTTCTAGTGAAGAAGGCTTTGTTCTCGGTGGTGTTTAACTTGTTCTTGAGCATTCAAGACGAGGAGGAGGAAAAAGAGCTTTTGGCTCCATTTGAGGATGCTCAACTTTCCAGGGAGTAAGTTTCGGCAGGCAAAGATTGCGAGTCACAAGACCTTTGAGATGCTGGACAAGTATATCAGCGGTGGGAGGCACGCAAGCAGATACTGTGGAGGGCTTCACAGTTCCAAAAGATTGGCGAGTAAGTTCCTCCATTTACTTGATCTCGTGAAGTTTTTACTCCTTGTTGTGTTTATCCAGTTCCATTGGAGTATCTTCCAGAGCAACAAGAGGAGTGCGTTCTTCATGGATCCGGACAAGTTTGATCTGGAGTGATTTGAATATTCGAGCTCCCGTTTGACGCCATACACTTATGTTCCATTTGGCGGGTGCCCTCCCAATTGAGCTCACCAAGATGCTCTTTTGCGTGTTCTTGCACCATCTTGTCATCCAGGTCTAGTGGTCATTCCTTGAACCAAACAAGTTGATTTATATGGCTTGGCCTCCCTATTAAACTAACAAGAATTCATTATCTCGAAGAATGGCAAATTATTTTACATTAATAATAATTAAGCAAAACCTTTGATATGGATAATTAATTATCCTAGATAATAGTTAATCATCACCAATGATTATGAGATGTAAAAATTAATTTTAACATTAAAACTAATGAACTAAAATGTCTTCCTCAACAACTTCTAATAAATGAAATAATGAGCATAAAACTTAAAAGAACAAAAATTTTAAAGAAGCCTAAAACCAAGTCTTGCCTAATTGGTATAATCCATAATATCCTCCTCAACATATCTATAAGCTTTATAATGCCAAAATTAATGAAGAACATATTTGCATTAATCCAAAAACCAAGCATGATCACTAAATGATCCGTCATGAATCCATCTATAGCAAGACGTAACTCACTTTATAACAAAAAAAAAAAAAAATCATCAATGATCAATATATTCCAAATCAAATCCAACAAGGATTCAAATATACTAATATCAATCACTAACTTTTTCTATAAGGTTAGTATAGCCCATGATTAAATCACTTTTCAAAGAAAAGCCAATAGTCAATTTTTACTAGACAATCTCATTTAAAACATAACTAGCTTAACTTACCAATCAGTTCATTTGAACATCAATATAGTTGTTAACTAGTAAATGTATGAATATCAATAACAACAAAGAGACATTTTATTTCACTTGAATCTCAACATCAACAATGTCAATAACAAAGCATCACTTTAATGCTATTAATACCAGAACAAATCTAATAGAAAGCAAGAGCAAATCACCACTTAAAGCTTTCTAACAACTAAGCTAACCAAAGTAAAAAATACCTTACTCAATATCTGAGACCAATACTTCAACAATACTCAATTATAAATAACACATCATCTCACAACGTCTAAGACTCAATGAAATCCAACACCACGGACTAAACACAACCAAATGATATCAACAGAAGTAGAGTTGACTTGCTAACATAAAAAAACCATGTAAATTTAACAACACGATCCTTTGTAACACCATCTGGTAAAGCAAGCCTATCACTAATAAATCTTCATTGAGCGAAGCAAGTGTCAATAGTCCTTGATAAAATCTACAAACAATCACTAGTCACAAAACAACCAACAATCACTTTTCAACTTGACTTTCACAAGACTCAAACACTAAACTTATATCATCGAGTCATATACTTATCCAACATGAACATAACACCCCAGATATAAGATAAAAGTCCATGTACAATGTCGCAAATATAACTTCGGGTATCGAAAGATATTTGTTGGCCAGTCTTTACGGGCACTCTCTCTTTATTGTTATGACAGCAGGAGGTCGGTACTGTTGGTTCCCTTTATTCGCCAGTCTTGTCCAAGTGTTAGTGAATTAAACTTAACATTTGTACTTGGCCAGATGAGCATAAGGACGAAATTCCTAAATATCTATTTGGCTAAACATACTTGGCCTAGCTTTTTAGTTCTCTTTTGCTCTGTCTTGCATTAGCTTGGTAAGAACTCTCGCATATTAAATTTAGTCCCTCAATATTGTTATATGATAGTTTATTATGTTTGCCAAACACCTTCGCTATTGTGCCTTTTGTGTTAGTTTCATTTCAATCCCAAATGCTATTTATGGAAAGTGTCTAGATTTGCTTATTTGGCATATTTACAGAGTGTAGAGATTGTCCTGAACACAATGGTGTTCGTCCTATATCCAAATTCGCAATCTAGGGGCATTCCATATCTAGTAAATTTCGAGCTTGTCCCAGAGACTAACTCCTAGTATTAAAAGAGGTGGCTATGGGGGTTTTAAATGTATAATAGGGATAGTGGTTGGAATGCATATCCAACCACTTGAGATATTAATTTAGCTTCTGCTAAATTGTGTCGCTCCTTGTTTTGCGTTTGGCTTGGGTCTAAACCCAAGCTCCATGTTGCTTTAGTCGGTGGGGTACCCTCCTCCTTGTGTTAGGCCACTGGTATGCCAAAATTGTGCTAAACACCATCTGACACAATTTTGTGTGCAGGTGCTAGATACAAGGAGCTAGTGGTGGTGGGATTGTACCAGACCCTTGTTTCATAGTGCAACAAACTTGGAGTTTAGCTCCAAGTTCAGGTGCATTATATTTGGTATTAGAGGAATTGTCTCAACGATTCCTATCCAACTTTTGTCAGATTTTTTAACTCAAGTTATATATGCAGAGACTTTTCTAGTAGATCCAAAGCGATCTAATTTGGATTAGTTAAATTGCACTATTTGGGAAGAACATGGTGTGCATGTTCAATTACTGATAGAAGCATATATGCAACTAGCAGGATGGTGAAAAGGAACCATGCTGATGATATTGAAACTTTTAGACGGGCGAATCAAAAGGAGGAAACTCCTACTAAAGATGTTACGGAAGAGGTTGAGGATAAGTTAGAAGAGGAAGAGCCAAATGCTGCAGCACTATAGTGTACAGCTTAAAAAGTTGAGATCAAGAATTTGTAAAGGGAAGTTCGCAAATTGAAGAAGGAGAACAAGAAGAGGAAGAAAGAAGCTAAGATGGCTAAACCAGGTAAACCTAAGCAATTGGACTCCTCTTCAAGTTCTGAGGATGGTAAAGTTTTGCAACCACCTCCAATTGTATGAGTTTCAAAGTTCAAGCCTCTGAAACTACCCAATTTCAGAGGCATGTGGGACTATTAGGTTTTGGAAGACTGGGTCTATGATATGGAAAACTATTTCATAGCGGCAGATATAGATGATCGTACGAAAGTTATGTGTGCACAATCCTTTCTCACCAATCATACCAAAACTTAGTGGTTCCAGGTGTGTGCTGAAAAAGGGCAAACTAAAAGTTGGACCAAGGTGCAATCTCGTATCCATAAGGAATACTTGCCGAATGATCTTGGTCTGAGACTTCACACAGAGCTGTGACGGTTAAAGCAGTGAGAAGACCTCATGCATTATGTTAATGCATTTGCTCAGAAGTGCATTATGATTGCAGATATGAGTGATGAAAATGCTTGAAGTTATTTCTTGGAATGTTTAAGTTTACTTTCTCGCAATGAGATTTTGAAGTTTAAGCCAAAGACATACTTGGAGTGTAAGGAGATAGTGCAACAAGTTGCCTTTAATCACTCACTCATGGAACAATACCAACAGCCATATGCTAGTACCTAGGATGAGAATAAGAATTTTGGGAATAAACAAGGTGATTAAAAACAAAGGGTGAAAAGCAAATTCCACCCTAAAGGCTCACAAGCAATAGTTAACAAAGGTGGTGGTGGTTGGAGACCATTAGCAGCTTCTTCTAGTCCTAGGCCCTCTGTTCTTCCTCTTGGTGGGTACAAGCAGTAGCAACCTGTGAAACTTGCTCCTAGTGAAATAAGTGGTGTGGCTCACCACTTCTATTATGGAGAGTCAGGACATAGGTCTTTGGAATGTCCTACCAAACATAAGATAATGTTTTGTGTTAATGTCATGAGGGAAGACGGTGGTGGTGAAGTTAAAGGGGTTGACGAGTTGGTCAATGCAAATTATGAGGAAGAGGAGGTGAGTTATTTTCGTTGCTTTCCTCAAGCTTTTCTCGCAGTCAATGCAAACATTGATCCATTAATGTATCTAGTAGGCTTTGTCCGTGGACACTGAATCCGAGTGATGATTGACACAAAATACGCACAACATGATATCCGAAGATTTAGTTAAATTATTAGGATTGAATGCTGAATAGATGTTGCCCATGCACTTTTAGTTTGTGGGAGGTGGGCAAATAGCTAGAAAATT